CACGAGCGAGTCCTTTATTCGTTCGCCGGAATAAATCTGCCGCGGCGGTGACTCAAGAACCGTCGTCTCCGAAGGTAACTTGCATGGGTCAAGTCCGAGTCAACCGATCCAAACCGAAAATTAAACCCGAATCTCGAGAAAACCCGACCCGAATAAAACGATGCGAGTGCATCCGAAAAGCGCCGTTTTACAATAGATTCGTCGGGAAAATCAAAACGATGTCGTTTTGGCCGAAATGGGGATCGTTTTCGTTTCCGTGTGCTTGCCGGAAATCGAAGGAGAAAGATTCTCCGAGAAGCCAATTAGATCGTCCGGTGACGGAATCAGCTCAAATCGGAGGGGAAAACGGAGAAGAAAGGGGAAATTTCAAAACCCCTAAATTATTTGTGTCTCCGGTTACTACGCCGCCGATAACCGCTCTTTTGTTAACGAGAAGCAGATCTGCACCGTATAGATCATCGTCGTTAGCTTTCAGATTCTGGGAAGAAAATAATCAACGAGAAATTGAATCACGAAACGCTAGATCGGAAAATGTTAGATCGGAAATTCCGGCCGAGAAAATCAATGGGGTTTACGAATCGGCGAGGTCTCTCGGAGCGAACATTGAGATTAAAGAGTTAGGGTTTGTACGGCGGCCGGAATTAACAAGGAGCAAATCGGAGCCGGCGAGGATCGGCGTTGCTTCCGAATGAAGAAGAAGAAGGTTAGGTTAAGGTAGGGTTTAGGCTTCTCACGTGATTAGTCAATAATTTGACTAATTTTATAAAATTAATTAATCGTTGGGTTTTTAAACATTGTTTAGGATAAATTGACTGTGTTTAGTAGTACTTGCTATAATTTGTTTAGTTTTTGATTTATATGTAGAGGAAAACAATTTGTATAGTAGATTTGTATCCACACATGTAAGTGTGAGGTGTATGTATTGACTAGCATAAAAAAAATGTTTAACAATACAATTGTAAAATCTCTTTTTTAATAATATAAATTCAAGATTCCAATTTACATTACATCTATCTG